AAATAAGTTCTGCTACAGAACTGCTTGCTAGGACAGAAATATCTAAAATAATGAAGGCACATGACAAAGGCTGATGAAAACATGGAAATCACTCTGCTGTGCATGCTGCTAGGAAACAGAACCCCCACAATGGAGTGCTGACCCCAGCCCAGGGGCCCCTCACTCCAATCCCTGAGCCACGCAGAGTGTCACGGACCTCCACAGGTCCAGGGCTTTCTTCCTGTTCTACTAACAATGTCAAGTCAATACTTTTAGTCACCTCAGTGTCCCTCAAAGTCATATTAAGCGAGCTGCTTTTACTTTAACCCTGCTGCTTCACTGTCCCTTCTCCAGGGCGCCAGTCCTTCTCAGTCTCCTGATCCTCAGGCCATCAAGTAGTAAAACAAACTCTCCATAAACCTATCTTTAAATCCCGTGACGTAACTTCCCTTCTAGTCTCCATCAACCAAACCTGACTTTGGATGTGGTTTGGTGTCCTGCAGGGGACATGTGACTGAGGCCTTGGGCCTGGGGAGGCCATGGTATTGGGAGGTACTGCAGAACCTACAAGAGGCCGCCGGGCCTGTGTGAGGTCCTTAAGCCCTGCCCTCAAGTGGAATAAAGACATTTCTCCTGAGACCTAGATTTCTGGAGAGACTTGCTATAAAAGGTGCAAATCTGGCCACTCCCTCTGTTTCTGGCTCAAGACTTGGCCCCCCTCCCCATTCCACCATTGGTCACAGGACCATCCCAGACCCTTCCCTATGGTGTTTGGAGTGTAGTCTCCAAAACTATGAGCTAAATTTATCTCTTTTCTTTATCAAGTTAGCTGCCTCAAGTGTTTTTTGGTAGTAACGAAAAGCTGACTAATACTGACTAATGCCACAATCTCAATTAAAGACAGATACAATTTCCACAGTAAGCACCATACTTAGCTATAGGAAAGATTCCAAAGTTTTAGATTTCCTACACCATAGGTCCCCTCCATTAGCATAGTAACAAAAAGACTTAAGACTACAATACCCAGAAACCAGGCACCAGAAACATCAAGCTAAATAAGGTGGCCTTCTGGAAGCTTGTAGTCTTATAAGGAAAGACAATATGGACACACATGGGTGTGCACAAGGCAGGCTCACCATCAGCATGTGTGAGACACATGGGTTGCCAAGAAGCGGAAGTGATTAACCCTGAGGGTTGAGGCTTGGTGGATTAAGCTTCTCAGAAAGTAGTCTCAGGGGCTGGGGATTTGGCTCAGTGGTTCCGACTCCTACCTTGCAAGTGCAAGGGCCCGAGTTCGATCCCCAGTACCAAAAAAGAAAAGAAAGCATGTCTCAGCTGGCCCTGAAGGATGCAAATAAGAAGAGGTTACCAGGCCAGTAGGGAGAGGGAAACCCTGATTCCTGAGACATAGCAAGTTCAGAAAGCAGAGATGTGAGAAAGTATAGGGTGTTAGGTGAGGAGAAAGACAGTCTGGACAAGGCACAAGCAAGTGGGGAGGGAAGAAGAGGCAGGAGAGGGACAGGTATGTTTGAGGAGCCACAGAGCCAAGAAGTGTCAGTCCTTCTAAAGGACAACCTAATTACCAAATAACAACAAGCCTTATAAAGCTGATCACAGCCAAGAGGTTTCAGGCAATTAGAAGCCAATGCCAGAAAGATGGAATGTGTACTTACTTGTTCAGGTTCCACGTGGCAGAACATTGATATTTTCTCTTTCACAGATGTGTCCAGGGGATTTGAGCACCTGCACACAACCTGGTAATAACGAAAACAAGATGGCTGGAAGGGTTACAAAGTTGGGTGTCCCCTGACTGAACTCAAAATACACATACACTGTTAAGATGAATGAATATGTTGGCTCTTGGCACAATGCAGATTAATTCACAAAAATATTCTTGCCTCTTTTAAAAAATGAAATTCCTAAATCCCAAATTAAAGAACCATTAAGAAGATGGCAATACCAATGAAAGGCAGGTGAATAAAACTAGAGGCAGAGGCTTTCCTCTCCAATGAATTTTCTTGGGCAGGAGAGAAAAACAGAATATATAAAAGGACTGAGAGAAGAAATAAGGCATAGGGCACGTAAGACTTCATACTTGCCAGTAAGAAAATCTTCACTCAAAGCACTAAACCTACTTTCTTCACTATCAATTATTATCAAGGGCCTGTCGAGTAGGCAAGGTCTTGCCCGGCCTTTCACGAAGATGTGTTTTAATTAGACATAAGCTCATACTAAACCCAGGAAATCTTACCAAGTCTGGGGAAAGCCCAAGCCCTCTAAGTTCCCGAACACTGTTTTGGGTGGGTTTTGTCTTCTGTTCCCCTGTTGAACTTGGCTATTTTACAAAAGAAAAAAAGGTTAGTTTCTCTATGATAAAAAAATTTTTAAGTGTATGACTTTTCCCCGAATCCCTCTTAATAGAATCTGATCATTTACACACTTTAGCTCGTATTTTTGTTGAAGTTACACACTTTTGTATTTGAGAGTCAAATTGTCCTACAGGGTGTAGAGTCAAACAGTCCTACTGCAGACAGTGGTCCCTGGGCTCCTCTCCTCTCCCACTCTCCAAACCTACGAACAGTGGCCCTGACTTCTTTTTTCTTTTTTCAGTGCTGGGGATCAAACATAAGGCCTTGTGCACATGGTCAAGTACTCTTCCCCCAATCACACCCCACCACTTGAGCTCTTGAATGGTCCTTCTCCTGTTTTATTGCTACTTGACATTCAGCTCGAGGCCTTTTCTGTCTGCACTGCTAAATGCACTGCTAAATGAGGATCTGCCCATGCTCTCATTCCCATCCCCTACACTGCACCCTTCCAGTGCCTGCAGTTCTCAAGGATAAAATACTGTTCCGTTAAACCACATGCCACACCTTCCTTTTTTTTGTTGTTTTTTTTGAGACAGGGTCTCACTATCACTCTTCCTTTTATAATAAATTGTCTTTATTCTCTCACACTTCAGAGACAGATTTGTGTTCAGTTTAAAAATTATTTCCTCTTAAAACATTTGAACACAATAGTGTCACTATCTTTTAGCTTCTAGTACTGCAGAATTGATGTTATGTTTTGTTTGCTTGTTTTGGTACAGGGGATCAAGATCAAACTTGGGACCTTGCACTTACGTGGCAGGCAGTGGAACCACTGAGCTAAATCCCCGGCCCTGATTCTTGAATTTGCTCTTTAGAAGAAAGTGTTTTTCTCTTTAGGGCCTTTTAGATTTCTGCCCCACTGTTCTGATCCTTCATAATGATGTGCCTCAGTGAGGTTGTATTTCACCTAATATGCTGCACACTCAGTGGGCCCTTTCAATCTAGAAACTCTCAGCTAGAAATTTCCTTGTTTAGATGAAAGATCAAAAAACCTTCCTGTCATAACTACTAAACTTTACTGTTTTAGTAAAAAACAACCACAGACAACACAACAAAAGAATGTGATCCTAGTTCCATAGATTCTATTTTCAAAAACAGGAGAAGTTTTGGCATTGGGGCCATAGTTTGCTGAGCCCTGGGATCAAATTATACTTCCCTCTCCATTTCTGTTTTTATTTTCTAGAAATCCTACCAACTGATGTCAGAACTTCTTATCTTTCCTCCCTTATCCTGTCTCTTAGCTTCTACCCCATTCATGAATTATTTCATCAACTTTCTCTTATCATTTCTGCTATCCAATTCTTTTTGCTGTTGTTACTGGTACTGGAGATTTAATCCAAAGCCTTCAAACTGAGCTACATCCCTAGCCCTTTAGAAAAAAAAAGTTTTTTTAAGACAGGGTCTTGCTATGTCACTAAGTTATCTAGTCACTAAATTTGAGCTCCAACTTGTGGCCCTCCTGTCTCCCAGATTACTAGGATTATTGGCATGCACAACCACACTATGCCTGCCTGCCTGCCTTTCTTTCTTTCTCTCTCTCTCTTTCTTTCTTTCTTGGGACAAAGTATTGCTGTATAGTTTAGGCAGGCCTTGAACTCACTATGTGCCCTAAGGTGACCTCAAACTCTCAGTGATCCTCCTATCTCAACAGGCATGCACCAGGCAATTCTTATTTCTACATATTCTTTTGTCTCCACAGGTTCCCTGCTTGTGGCGTGTACAGTTTTTATCTGGTGCATGCAGTTTACCTCCTTTTACTCACTGGCTGTCAGCTCATACTTAATAGCTAACTGGAAGCCCATGTGAGTGGCAGGCTGGCTGCTGCGAGTCCGTGGCCAGCCTGTTTCCCAGGGGAGCCCTGGGAGCAGTGTCTTTTCTTACAGGCTAGTCGTATCTGGGAAGGCTCTTACTACGCAGCATGTAGAAGGCTGTGAAGCTTCTAGGAAGCAAGAGGTGGAAGAAAGCAAGGCACTGCTACAGCACTTCAAGCGGCTTAACATCACACTCAACCACGTGAGCGTCACTGCCCTCAGCCATCCCCCGTGCCTGCCTGGCCAGAATTTTCCTTGGGGCCCAGTCTTCTGTCAAGTTGGAGAAAGGCTGATGCTCAACTGTACATAGTAGGGAAGGGGACCCTACCTCACCCCCACCCAGAGAACCTGGTGCTGCCCACCTTGACACTCGGTTACTCTGCAGGGCAAACAGAGCTGCTTTTCTGCTCTCCCTGCTCCAGGCTGAGGGTTAAATGCTCCCAGGTTAGCTTGGTGAGTTTCCGCATGTCTATCTGCTTTCTCATGTGTATTACTATTGAGTTCTCTCCACAGTATTTAAATTCTGCCTTAACAAGAAAGCTTGCTTAAATTCACATGAAGTTCTTTATTCCATTTTTTGTACCTCAAGCACTGAAAACTATTAGATTAACAAGTGAAAAATCAATCTTCTCTCCCCCAAAACTTAACTGTAAATACCTTACCTGAGGAACTAGACTGACGTGGATATTACAAAAATTCTCCTTTTTGACCTTGAACTGGAACTGCCGGAAGGCCTCAATGAAGGGCATGCTTTCGATATCTCCTACTGTCCCACCAAGCTGGAAAAGCAGCACCAGTTTAGGAGAAGAGCACTCAACCTTTCTCTCTGGAGGTTTCCTTTCCAGCATCTTCTTTCCCCTTAAATCAGTGGCCAGTAACAGTGTGATTTGGATTACTCGGCCCTACACAATGTCAGTCACAGACATTTCTTTGTGCTGCAAGGTGACTCTTTTGGCCCTAAGGCTATTACAGAACTTTATACAGTATTTGAAGAAAAAGATCAGGTGAGACAAGGGCCAGGAATTTTATTTGCATGAGAATCACAAAGCAAAAAATCTGATCTTATTTCTTTTATCATAAATAACTTGTATATTAAAAAGCATCACTTATAAACAAATTATGAAAACTTTTGAGTCTCCTGATTTTGAAGGAACTCTGAGATCCAACAGCTGAGATCAGCAGATAGCACAGAAACCAAAACCAAAAAGCTCATTTAGTGAGGGAGATTTTCCTGCCAGAGGAAAGCAAAGGTCTATCAACTCCTTCAAGAGACAGATGAAAACCTGCCTGGCCACTCTTTCTGGTACAGCTGGCACGAGCAAACCCACAAATGCTGCAAAGGAGTAGATAAAGGTATTTCGCTAAGAACTGCTCTCCCCCAAGTAGCCACTCCACATGACCATTACTGTGCCCTCGCCAGCCACACTGCACTGACAGAGATGTGGGACAAGGGATTCCCTGGGAATTGTTTCGCCTGGCTGACTAAGGAGACAAGTGCACGGAGTATTCACAGATGCAGGAAACATACAAACCTCGATGACACACACTTGAGGTTCTAGGCCATCTTCATCTACAGGTATTAACGCCTGTTTCATCACCCATTCCTGGATGGCATCTGTGATGTGAGGGACAACTGGGAAACAAAAAAGAAACCTGTCACTTACACTTGTCCCTCAGAGGCAAGTAACATGTATTATTAAACTGCTGAACTCTTTGCCTGGACAGAGTAGCAGTGAGGCAAAAAATCCTTTTTTTTTTGAGGCTCCTTTTACATGGCCTCATGAAAATTTGGGGCTTACACTCCCCACTGTTTCCTCTCTGGCGTTTTAGGTTGTCCTTGGGAGCACTGCAAAAGGAGGAGGCTGAGAGTGGCATACTGAATGCCCTGCACCACGCAGAGTCTGCTCTTCGGCTGCACACAAAGAACCGGATCGCCACTCCTATTTTCAACAGCCAAAGCTGAAGGGGGGCACCTCACACCTTCCTGATGCTTTTCCAGGAGGACCTTGTCCTACACTTCATTTCCAGTTAGGGATAGATCCTTTCTATGTGTCAGGGAAACACTTTATTGATGCAGCTCCTCAGACCTAAGAAATAGACAGGTGCTGCTAATATCTCAATTTCATAGAAAGGGAAACTATATCTCAAGAGATTTTATAAAATAAAATGGTCAAGGCTTTTGGCCAAAACCTAGTGCCTCAGCCACTCCAAGAGGCTGCCTGAGGGCACCATTACCTGGCTTCTGTACTTCCCTGTTTCAATGCAGCTCAGTTAAAGACCATGCCTGAACAAAACAACATTTAACGTTCAAAAACTTAACTAGAGTAACCGCAAGTGTATGAAAACAGCCATCGCAACTCAGTACTTTTTTCGTCAGAATAAATGTGAGAGGTGTTTTCCCACATGGTTTCTGATTAAGTAGAGTCATCCTGATTAAGTAGTCATCAAGGGACTCCAAATACCAGCAGAGCCATCAAAGGGTTCACCCTTACTTCATGGGAATTTGGACTAGGCAAGGCCAAGAGATGGCCTAGCCCCCTTCTCCCTAATGATAATGGGTCCAAATATGGAGACAAAAGCCCCCTGGGTCTTTCTTCTGTGTTAATGATGCCAGCATCACTCCAACAGAGTGATAGAGATGTCTATCTAGGCTTTATAAAGTCTCACAAGGGGCACCTTGTGAACTTCGGGTCTCCTTATGCATGCGATGCCTCCTTAAGGAGTGTAGGCCTAGTTGTCTCCTTCTCTCTATAGGTCCCAAGCAGATAGGAGATCTATTGGATCTCGAAATCATGTGGATTTCACTGACATCACCAGGAGGGCATATTCTCAATGAGTAGAAAAGGTTTGATCCTGACAATCTAAAATAGGAGCAGCACATCTATTATTGCAATATGGTTCGGTTCCAATATGAATGCGGAGGTGGCGAGAGATGGGTATGGGATGGTACTTTAAATTATGAGACTATTCTCCAATTACAGTGTTTTTGCTTAAAACAGGCAAAGTGCAATGAAATACCTTATGTTCAGACTTTCGTGACTCTTTATCAAAGGGAATGCTCAGGAGCTATGGGGTTTAGAGTGACATGCAAAGAGGAAAAAGGTATTCTGGAGGACCCTTTCCTGAGATCCCCATTTGTCACTCAGGGAGCTGAGGGTCTCTCTGATCTGTCTGACCTCTCATCCTCGACCTCCTCCATACAGCCCCCAGGCTAATAAATCAAGGCCATCCCCTCCAGGTGACCAAGGAACTCCACTAGAGCCTAGTGCCCCAGGAGAACCCAGCGATTCTCAGCCCTCTTATCATGCTTCTCAGACAGCTTTAAGCCTCGCAGGTAGAACCTGAAGAGGTGCTTCTTACTACTCTAATTCAGAACTTTTCCTGCCCCTACGAAGTCTCAGTGCTGGGGGGAATACTCGAGTACAAGCTCCTTTTTCAGTCGCAGATGTCCAGTAGTGCAAAGAATGATTAGGCCAACTATCAGAAAATCCTATTAAGTTTTCAGAGGGGTTTCAAACTGTGGCCCTTGCTTTTGATTTATCACGGCAAGATGTCCAATTCATCTTAGCCACTTGCTGTACCCCAGATGAAAATGAAAGAATCGGAGAAGAGGCTAAAACTATGCAAATGAGCAGTATGCCTTGAAAAGGAAAGGAAATCACCCTGGAGAGGTTATTCTCCCTCAAAGAAAAACTGGGACTATAATACGCAGGAGGGTCTAAAGATGATGTCTAGTATGATAGCTGCTCTTACCACGGGGATGAAAAGGTACATCAAGAAGTCTGTTAATTATGATAAAGTGAGTGGGATCTTATGAGGTACAGGAGAAAATCCAGCTTTGTTTTATAAACAATTAGCAGAGGTCTTCCACAAGTATACTAACACAGATCCATCTTCCAGGGAAGGGGTGGCACTCATGGGACACCATTTCATCTGTCATTCAGGCCCAGACATATGAACCAGGAATTTCTAATTGTCTGCAGTATCCCATTCCTTTGCTAGGAAGAGAGTTACTAACTAAATTGGGGGCAATTCTCAAATTCTAGCTAAGGCCAAAACAGATTTTACTTGTCTGGACTACACCAGGTCTCCCTGACCAAATTAGCCAACAAGTAGATACTGCTGCATGGTATGATGGAATACATGATAGGGCAAATTCTGCTATGCCAGTAGTTACAAGACTAAAAACCCCAGACAGGCGTGGTGGCACATGCCTGTAACCCCTGCACTAGGGAAACTGAGGCAGAAGGATTCCTGTGAGTTCAAGGCCAGCCTGAACTCTGTAATGAGACCATCTCAACCACCCCGCCCCCACAAAAATGTCCTAACCTAAAGCAGTATCTAATCAAGAAAGAGGCACATAAAGGCCTCCAGCCTCTTAAGACAAGTTCCTCAAACATGGCCTTCTGAAGCCTTGCCAGACCCCTTATAATACTTCCATTCTCTTTGTAGTAAAGCCCTCAGGAGACTATCAGATGTTATAAAACCTACGTCTCATTAAGAGGGCTAACATTCCAATCCATCCTCTAGTGGCAGATCCATACACTAGTCTTTCCCAAATTCCAGGGGACACTAATTAGTTCTGAGCCTTAGATTTAAAAGATGAATTTTCCTCCATCCCCCTCCATCCAGACTCTCAATTTCTGTTTGCCTTTGAATGGGAAAACCCCTTTACAAGAGAAAAGCAGTAATATACCTGGACAGTTCTCCCACAAGGGTTTAGACCTTTATGCTCAGGCACTAGAGAAAGACTTGAGGAACTTAAAGCTTAAACAAGTAATCATACTACAGTATGTAGACGATATTCTAGTTTGTAGCCCAACTCAGAAATTATCTAACACAGACTCTCAACTTTTTAGTGAAGGAATATAGTCTCCAAAGAAATGGTCCAGATATCCATCCAAAAAGTTCAATATCTGGGATATATTCTTACATTTGAGGAATGACAGTTGTCTAGGGACTGGATCCAGGCTATCTGTGATCTTGGGCCTCCTGCCTCCAAGCAATAGCTTAATTCTCTCCTGGGGATGGCTGGTTTTTGTAGGATCTGGCTACCTAATACTGGACTAATGGCAAAGCCACTATATGGCAAAACAAAAACAAAACACTAGAAACAGTGTTCACATTCATATAAAAACAAGGAAAGAATAAGAAAAAAATGTCCAATTCAAGGTGTGTCTCTGCTGTCACTGGTAGACAAACTGGACAAAGCCCAGATTCATATTGATTAATCCCACCAAGCCAGCCATAGATTACAGCAGGGTAATGATAATCCCTAACATTTGATTGGTGAGCCACTTTTAGAAGAAGCTACTCAGTAACAATACTCATCTCAGGCCAGACCCAGCTGTCACTGTGACACTCAGCTCTCAGTCCAATAAAGTCTCAGACCTAAAACACACCTACTCTCATAACTCAGAGGAAAGCACTCTGGGAGGGCACCATTTCATTACAGCATTGTTTTTCCAACCCTACCTTTTTAAAGGAACAGAACACTGATCTCAAATAAGTAGTTCTACAAAACCCCAAAACAGCAAACAGCTAAAAGTAAAGCTGTGCTGGGGAAAACTGGGGAGGACTCAGGAACTCTCTTCAGACACACCCTGGTCCATGTGACACTGATGAAAAAAAGCCTGAAAAAAGACATATTTCCTTCCTTATCTGTCTATTCATACTAAGCCCCAGATGCACACCACCTTGGTTCAATGCCCTAATCCAGTTGCCTTGGCCACTTCACACTTATTGTACAAAACCAGCAGCTCTCTGGACTCAAACCATGCTGCCTTGCCTGGATTAATAAGCTTCAATGTCATTCATGGAGCAGCAGTGGCTTCTTCAAATGATTTTGCAAGTGAATGGCCAAACAATTCCAAATTTCCAACTGAAGGCATGTTTCAGTAATAATACTTTGAGAAAATGATGAAATCACATAAAAAGTACATTGTTAACCCAAAAGAAGCTAAGAACCTTAAAGGTAAATCCAGTATTACCCTGGACAGTTTTCCCCAAGTAATCTCCTTTGCGTTCCTTGTTTATGACGTGCTGGTAGATCTTCCCAGTGGTGAGATTGTTGTCCTTGGTGAGGCGGATGTCAAGGAACCGCTCATAGTTCCCCAGGTCAAGGTCAACTTCCCCGCCATCATCCAGAACAAACACTTCACCTGCAGTGAAGAGTGAGGATGTTTAGCCAGGTGAAGACTACATTTACCATAACATAACTTGACTCCTGAAATACAAACACTTGGAACACAATATGGTCTGCATTAGCCTGACAAAGCACAGAAATCTATTTCTAGAAAACTAAATAGGACACAAACAAGAAAAATCACCAACCATTCTCTAAAAGGCAACTTTGTACTTCTAGTCTGTCAACAAAAATGCTATCTCTGGGAAGAGTAAAATAGCATGCATGGAAGGCTAAATACCACCCCCAAGGCTGTCAGAAAAGGGCACTTAACGGTAAGTAATAGGGCAACTATTTCTCCCTAGAGAAAAAGAACACATAGGGAAAAAAAAAGTTTTTTACCTGTGTAGAATAAGGTTTAAACTATGATTAAAAATATGATTCTATTCAAAATGTCTTGACATATACATAGGAAAGCTGTAGTTTTATAAAAAACCAGCCTCTGGGCTACACTTTAGTTCCAAACAAAGTAGTGAAAGTGCCCCAGTTCTTCCCACTCTTGTTTCATATTCATTCCTTACAACCTCATTTTACACGTTCTGCTGAGAATGAGTCATACCTATGTCACAGTAAGAACCAAGCTCAAAAGCAGGAAAGGAAAAAGTGTTGTATTTTCCCCCTCAGAGAAAATGAATCCTCTGCTCAAGAACTTCATACTAGACAGCTCTTCAACGGCTGGGGAACTCAATGCTATAGCTCTTGGTTAGCAAGCACAAGACCTTGGGTATGATACCCAGTACCACCAAAAAATGTCTATCTCTATCCCCTTACCACATATATCTACATCTTCAGAAACTGCAGGGGTGGATAAAATTTGTAAGGATGTAGATCTGGGCAAGTATAAGAAAGAATTTGTAATGGCAAGTGCCCTCCGAGAACCGGGTACCAGATTCTGAGAGCTGTGAACTGCTTTTGGTGGAGATGTAAATGCGTATCTACATCTATATCTATAGATATGCATCAACTATAGTATATGGATCTTCTGATGTTAATCATTACATGAAGTTTTCTGTGCATTGACAGCTTTATAGACTTTTAGGAATGAAAATGCAGAACTTTAAATCTTCAAGGTATAGTTTCACAGTACATTTCCTGCAATTTAAACCAATAAATCTGAGGTAACTCAAACACAATGAATTCATCACATGGTTTATAGGACCACAACAGCAACAAATAAGTCTAGTAGTTAAGGTTTTTCACTCACCTCAAAAAATCTCTATATATGTTATCCAAACTGCCATTAGCCAAACAGAATCTCAAGCTTACAGATCCTCCAAATCCAGCATCTACCTGTTTTGCCTGAATCCCTACAAAGTGGTCCTTGGGCTCTGTTTAAACATCTCCACCAAAGGCAAGTCGCAGCTTTCAGAGTCTGCTCACCCGATTCTCAGAGGGCATTTGCTATTACAGAAATCTTTCTTATACCGCCAAAATCTACGTCCTTACAAATTCTATCCACCCATGCAATTTCTGAAGACTGGGGCTACAAAGAATAAGCATACAGTGCCTCATTAGGGGTGGGATGGCCATACTCTCCCACCAAGACTAAGCCTTTTAAGGCTAAAGACAAAACTAAGACTATAAATTATCAACCAAGGTTAATGATGTCATCTATGTGCCCTTGATTCTACTGGATCAGCATTAGCCAAGTGGCTATACTTGTAGCCTTATTAATTATAGTTTTGACCCATGTTGTACCCACCTTTTGATTTTGCTCTATAAAACTTTCTCAGAGAAGTGGACTTGTTGGCAACCCCGGGAACTCTCCTGTCTCTCAGGAGCTATTCCTATTCCCCAATAAATTTTCCTACTCTTTACCTCTGTTGTTCCTTAGAATTCATTCTTCGACCTCAAGGAACATGAACTCAGCCTGTCTGACTTTTAGCAGGTTGGGAGCTACCTCCACCCAACTTTTTTTTTTTTGGTTTTTGAGACAGGGTCTCACTACGTAGTTGAGACTGACCTGGATCTCACTATGTAGCCCAGGCTGGTCTCAAATTCACAGCAATTCTCCTGCCTCAGCCTCCCAAGTGCTGGGATTACAGGTGTGCACCACCACGCCCTGCCTTTCCCCTATATTAATATGGGGTGGATTCCTACCCACAGCTGAAATCACACTATTGTGTTAAGTGATACTGACTTGTTTGCTACTGACTGGATGACAAGAGCTGGAATAAGATGGCCAGTCCCAAAGGTTACTCAGTGGCTCTGTGGTACAAACCTGTGGCCTTAGTTGCCTCCAGGGTAGATAGGAAGATATATCTTAGGATGACCATGGGTCCTAGGGTGCTGTGCTAAAACCACAGATCAACTAGCTAACCTCCCAGTCTTGCACTCACAGGCCAGATCAGTTTTCTACTGGTCTGATTATCTGGGTGCTATCTTTGTTCCCCAAATAGGACTTGAGATGTAATGGGGCACACCAAATCGCTTAGTAACTATATATAAAGACCTCTAAAAAAACACTGCAGAGGGTATTTCATTATTAAATTCGGAAGTAAAAATGATGAGGAAAAACCTGTCATGACTTGTGTCTAGAGGTCCCCCCAAAGCCTCATGCAGTCATAGGTGGAGCTTTTTCAGAAGTGGCTGGATCAAGAATATGTGACATTGGGACTGATTCATGGCGCAATGCTAGGATCAAAGGCATAAGGATCAAGTGCTAGGATTAAGGGCGTGAGTGCTACCTTCCCTAAGTAGTGTGGATAAGATATAAGGGAAAGAAAGAGCTGTGGTCAACCCTTGTTCCTTTGCTATCGTCTGCCCACCATGAACTGGTTCTCCTCTGCGATGGAGCCAGCCAATTATGGACTAAAACCTCAACAAACTGTGAGCTCAATAAACCTTTCTTCCTTTAACTTTGAGTGTTGGGTATTTTATCTCAGCAATGAGAGAAGACAGAGCCATTCTACAAAACTGAGTAGCCCTAGATATTCTAACAGTAGCACAAGGCAGAACATGTGCCATTATCAAAGCAATGTTGCAGGCATATTTCTGACAATTCTGTAAATGTTACTTTGCATCAGGCAATCTATGTTCACAAATCAATTCAATGTCACTCTGCCATAAGCTTTAATGACCGGCTGGTATCTTGGTTCTCTAGAACATGCTGTTGGTGAAAAAGTCCTCATTTTTCTGTTTACAATACTAGGCACTGGAATTCTTGTCTGTTACATGATTCATTGTTGTTGTGGGTTAACGTATGTCCTTGCCTTCTTTTTCAGACTATCGAAAGATGATGGTTCTTCAAAAGATGGAACCTCACATCCCTATGTCTCCGTTAGCTCAGTCAGAGTGAGACTTTCACAGTCCCTGGCTAGACAGGATCAATCCTCCTCCTCCTCATCCTGAAAGTCACTGAAGATAGACCACTGGCCTTCTACCACGACCAAAGTCTCAGGGCGGGAAAACAAGGTGGATAGAAGGAATAAAGTTAGGTAGAAAGGAGACAAGGAAATCAAAATTGTACTTTAAAGAAAACCTGCAGCTTCAGAACAAAAGCCTGTTTATTTACTTTTTGCCTTCTCACAAAAAAGCAAACCTGGACAACTCCCTTTCAGCTGCAAAAAGGTCTGCCCACTCCCTTTTACTTGAAAATGGTTCTCTTTCACCGATGGAGAGACCACCCTTTTGGCATTTCCCATAAAAACGGGCTTACTAAGGGTGATCCATCTTCTCCTATCCTCTAACACTACAGATTATTGAATTCCACCTCCCCAAACACATAAAAGATCCCCAGCTCCCTGCTGTATTGTGCCTCATTTCTCTTAGCACCCACACTCGGCTCTTGAGTGCATCCTATATCTACTTCTAATAAATCCTTCTAATGCAGCTTTAAAAAAAAAAAAAAGGATACTCCTCCAATATCTGAAGAAAGTCACTATCTCACCAAGTATGTTTTTTCAAGAGAAATGACAAATTTTTATTTAGCTGCTACCAAAAAGATCATTTCTATTATAGAAATTGTTAGATTCTAATCATTAAGTTGCCTATTAAGATTTCTGCCTCTGCCGTTCCAGGTAAGAAAAAAAAAAAAATCATTCTGCTACACTAAAAACCATTTTAGAAGACAGGAAATAGAAGTTATTAGAAAATGTTCATACAATTCCCAAGAGCTAACATGTTCTTTCACATACCCAATTACAGAGACGAAGCAAGAAAGAAATGACTATCACTTACCATGCTCGTAAGGAGAGAATGTTCCTGCATCAATGTTAATGTATGGGTCAACTTTAATTGAAGTCACATGTAAGCCACATGACTTCAGTATGGTACCCACACTGCTGGCAATGACTCCTTTTCCAATTCCTGATATAACACCACCAGTAACTAGAATGTACTTCATTTTCCTTTTTGACCTGGAGGAAAGAAAAAGTACAGATTAAAATATATCTCAATGAACAAAACTGTCTTCATGTACTGGCTTTGCCAATTACTGGGTATGAACATGAATTCTTGACCATGTTCCATGAGTTTAGAAGGTCCTTGTCCAGTTTAAATCAGTTCATAACAGAAGCTTTTCTTAGGATATTGAATGGCATTAATCAAACATGAACAGAAAAACAACTCTTACACAATAATGAAGTTTGTTTAAACCTTTGACAACAACCTGGAGAATCAAAAAAGTTCTACAAGGGTTGACAGAACACTCTGCCTAAAATATTGGCTGATATAACTGCCAGACACTGGGATACCAAGCACATGTCTCATTATTTCCCTATATGGGAAAAAAATTTGCAGTCTTGGATAAGCCTCCAATTCTCCATGAAAGCCATAATGTGTTTGGCTAAGCTACAAAGAATCACTGAGAAAACACAGCTCCCCTAAGTTTTGAAAGACATGCCAAAAGGAAAAGACTTAAACATATAAAAGGAATTAGAGCTAAACCTAAAACTCAAGTACAGATAGTGCTCTTCTGTAATTTAATAACTTGCTCCTTGCTAGCAACCTCTCCTAGTTAAAAGGAATTAGAGCTAAACCTAAAACTCAAGTACAGATAGTGCTCTTCTGTAATTTAATAACAACTTGCTCCTTGCTAGCAACCTCTCCTAAGTATGCTGTAAACAGAGACTGCATATATTGGGGGAGAACCTCAGATAATAAATAAGCCAGTCTAAAACACATAATTGGCAGAGCAGGCAAAAAGGGCAGATGAAATCCAAAGAATAGTACAGTCCTGCAGGGAGTATAAGAAGTGGACTTGAGAGATAGTGAGGTAGAGTCAAAGACGGCAAAGTCAAGAGGCAGCTGAAAATAGCACTGATAATCAGTAAGATGGTAACAGGCTCCCTAGGGAGAATTCATCACTGTTCAGCTTCTGAGGCCCAGAAATACCATTCTGTTGGTGAGCCCAAATGTAACCAAAAAGAGAAATGTGATCATCAAATCCCAGAGAATATTTGCCTTGGCATGAGGTAACCATTCTCCTCCTCTAGGAACATTCCATGTGAAGCGAAATTAAAGATAAGTTAAGAACGATACAAGGAAATAAAATTTGGTCTGAGGCATTCCTGGGCCCCACTCTTCCCCGGAATGAACGAACATACTAGGTAAGAAATAAGAATGCTCAGAATGACTAACCCTAGGACTGCAAGGAAGACACTGTCCTGCTTTCTATTCTCTGCCGCAGTTGCTTCAAAAGCATATTTGGTTTCCACAAAATGTATATGGGTTCCCCAAAAGGATTTTATGGACAGACGAATCCGAGAAATGTTCACAAAACAGTCATCTGGTTTCTTTAATGAAAGACCACTGGGAGTGTTTAGTGAGTTAATATAAACTGTGATCTCCTAAAAGGAGTATACAGCATGGAGTTTCCTCAAACTTATTGGTCCAAAGTGCCTATAACTGGGGAAAACACTATCACCTTAAATTTGAATGGTTCCTTACTGATACATGAGTATCAGAGGTGGCTACACTTTAGTAATCCTGACCAGGGATCCCTTGGTGAGACTATATATCCTGGTCTCACACTAACTAAATTTTGTATGTGCCTATTTCTTAGCCACTCTTGAGAGGATTACAGAACGGGTTACTTCTACGAAAGACTTATTTCAACCCTATGCATTTGACTGGCTCCAGTTTTACTAAGAAGGTGACCCTTCTCTGGGAGATCCTGGCATCACCCACAGTGTTTGGCCATAAATATTCCAACAGCCACAGAGATCCTGTGGGAGATTGAGAGGACTCTTTCACTCACATTTATGGAATACCCCACTTACATTTTGTGGGGACCATAAAAATTAATCAGATTTGGGCCCATACATCAAGTTGCTGGCAGACCATTTTGAGGGGAAAAAAATTTTTTTAAAATAAAAGAGCAATCCAGTGATGGTGGGAAGCAGAAGGACATGATAGGAAAACTACAAACGTAAAATCAGAAAGAGTAGAAAGTTTTCAGTGCCAGAACCAAGATAAGTACCATGTCTCACCAGAGGACAGTGAGGGACACCCCCTCACCCCCTACTCCCGGGGTTAAGCAAAGATCCCTATTGCTGTTTTCTAGGCCTGACTTTGGACAGCCTTAAAGGACCGAAAGCATGACCTAACTCAGGTCTTAAAGCATCGGAGAGTAGACAGGCAGGCGAGTACAGAGGCAAACACCAAGCAAACACTAGGGAAGAAGGTATAGGGTAGGGAAGGGGTCAACTAGTGCGAACTTAAATGCCCAGCTTAACTTGATTCTGCAGGTGATGGGAAGACATCTGAAGGTTTTTCAAGCACAGAAGCAACATAAATCACGACCCATCAGAGAAATTCACCAGAGACGGGGAGAGGGGTAAAGTTGTGAGATCAAGATTCAGCTCCATCGCCCGTGTGCTGAGACCCCACTTACGTCCCCAGTAAGCCTGGGTCCACACCGCCGTAAAATGGGGTGAATCTCTACCTACTGCCCGTGTCACGGGGCTGCTGAGGATATAAAATTGTAAGTGTGGATGTAAACGCGCCACGCAAACGCAAAGAACTTCCCTAGAACGCCCCATCCTCACATGCCGCCGCGGACGAGAGGGCACTGCGGTGGGGTCACGGGGACAGCTCATGGACGCTGGGCTCACAGGCCCCTTTCCTCCGCCTGGGCCAAGGCCGCCAGGCCCATCCCACGGCGACGGGCAAGGTCGGACCTGTGCGCCCCTCCCAGGTGGAGAGAGCCTCGGAGCCGCGGCCAGGGCAGCGGGAATGGGAGCGGCTGTCGCGGG